ATGCTCTCCCTTCTCAACAAAGGTAACACTCTTCTGTCCTGTATCACCACAGTTTACTGCTCAGAAACCTGCCATTGGCATTCCTGTATGTGCCTTGGTGGTCACAAGCACTCATTTCGCTTGCGTGGAATCTATCCAAAGGTAGAACTGCTGGATCACAGGGTAGGTTTAGTTTTAGCAGATACTGCCAAAGAGTTTTCCAAAGTGGGTGTGCCAATTTCCACTCTCACCAGCAAGGTACAGAAGTTCCACTTGCTCCACATCCTCAGGAATACTTGGTATTGTCAGTTGCTTTAGTTTCATTCTGTTATCACTGTGGTTTTACTCTGCATTTTCCTGATAATTAATATGTTTATGGGCCTTTTGTGTATCTTCTTTTTTAAGTGCCTACTCAAGTTTTTTGTCATGTTTCTAATTAACTTGTTAATTTTTTATGTATTCAGAATATGAGCATTTTGTTAATTATATATACTGCAAATATTGTCTCCTACTCTGTGGTTTACCTTTTAATTCTCTTAATGGTATATTTTTGATAAAAAGAAATACTTAATTTTAATGTAGTCCAAATTATCAATCTTTTATTTTATGGTTCATTACCTTTTGTTTTAAGGAATCTCTGCCTATCTCAAGGTCATGATGATATTCTGCTATGTTATCTTCCAGAAGCTCTATTGTTTTACCTTTCATATTCAGAGCTATAACCCATCTGGAATTGATTTCTAAAAACTGAGATGTGATTCACATTGCATAACAATTCAGTGGTTTCTAGCATATTCACAAAGTTATGCAATCATCACCACTGTCTAATTCCAGAACATTTTTACCACCACCCCCAAAAAGAAATCCTGTACCCATTAGCAGTCACTTCCCATCTCCTCACCCCCTAGCTCTTGGTAACCACTTATCTACTTTCTGTCTTACAGATTTGCCTGTTGTGGACATTTCATATAAATGGAATCATACAATATGTAGCCTTTTGTGTCTGGCTTCTTTCACTTAGCACAGTGTTTTCAAGGTTCAACCATATTACAGCATGTATTAATACTTCGTTCTTTTTATTGCTAAATAATGTTTCAGTGTATGGTTGTATATACCACATTTCATTTCTTCATTCATCAGCTGATGAACATTTAGGTTGTTTCTACTTCTTGACTATTGTGAATAATGCTGTTATGAACAAGTACATGTACAAGTTTTTGTATGAATATATGTTTTCAATTCTTTTGGGTATAAACCTAGGAGTGGAATTGCTGGGTCATATGGTAATTCTACGTTTAACATTTTGAGAAACTGTCAAACTGTTTTCCAAAACAGCTGTACCATTTTACATTCCCATCAGCAATGGATGAGGATTCCAATTTATCCAAATCCTCACTGGAACTGATTTTGTATATAGTGTGTAGTAAATATCAAGATTAATTTTTTTCAGCCTATAAGCAGCCATCTAAGATACTCCACTGGTATTACCCCTTCAGGAGCAAAGGAAATGAAGAAAACTAAAGACACAAGGGAAAGATAAGTCCAAAGGACTAACAGACCACAACTACTAGGGCCTCCATCAGACTGAGTCCAGTATAACTAGATGGTGCCCACTACCACCACTGACTGCTCTGACAGGGATCACAATAGAGGGTCCTGGACAGAGCTGGAGAAAAATATAGAACAAAATTCTAACACACACACACACACACACACACACAAAAGAGCAGACTTACTGGTCTGACAGAAACTGCAGAAACTCTTGAGAGTATGGCCCCAGATACCCTTTTAGCCCAGTAATGAAGTCACTCCAGAGGTTCACCTTTTAGCCAAAGATCAGACAGACTCATAAGACAAAACGAACCTAAAGGGGCACACCAGCCCAGGGGCAAGGACTAGAAGGCAGGAGGGGACAGGAAAGCTGGTAACAGGGAACCCAATGTTGAGAAGGGAGCGTACTGACATGTCATGAGGTTGTTAACCAATGCCATAAAACAAACAAACAAACAAAAAAGCTTGTGAGTGACCATCTAAGATATTCAAATGGTCTCACCCCATCTGAAGCAAAGGAGAATGAAGAAAACCAAAGACACAAGGGAAAGATTAGTCCAAAGGACTAATGGACCACAACTACCACAGCCTCCACCAGACCGAGTCCAGCACAACTAGATGGTGTCTGGCTACCACCACCGACTGCTCAGACAGAGATCATAATAGAGGCTCCTGGACAGACCTGGAGAAAAAATGCAGAACAAATGTCTAACAACAACCACAAAAAAGACCAGACTTACTGGTCTGATAGACTGAAGAAATCCCGGGAGTATGGCCCCTGGACACCCTTACAGCTAGCTCAGCAATGAAGTCACTCCTGAGGTTCACCCTTCAGCCAAAGATTAGGCAGGCCCATAAAACAAAAGGAGACTAAATGGGCACACCAACCCAGAGGCAAGGATGAGAAGGCAGGAGGGGACAGGAAAGCCGATAATGGGGAACCCAAGGTCGAGAAGGGGAGAGTGTTGACATGTAGTGGGTTTGGCAACTAATGTCACAAAATAATATGCATATTAATTGTTTAATAAAAAGCTAGTTTGTTCTGTAAACCTTCATCTAAAGTACAATTAAAAAAAGAAAGATTAATTTTTTTCCTATATGGATATCCAATTACCCAGCACTATTTACTGAAAAGACCGTCCTTTCTCTACTGAATTACAGTGCCACTGTTGGCACAAACCAAGTGTCTATATATGTGTGGGTAGAGTTCTGAACCCAATTCCATTCTGTTGGCCTATCTGTTCCTTGTGCCACACTGGCATAATTACTGTAGCATCAAAATAAGTCTCAATATGCTGAGGTTTAAGTCCACCAACTCTATTCTTTTTCTTTAACATTATTTTGGCTAATCTCGGTCTTTTGCATTTCCATCTAAATTTTATAATCAGCTTATCAATTTATACACACACAAACACACAGTCCTATTGGGATTTTGATTGGGATTACACTGTATCTATATATTAATTTTGGAAGAATTTACATCTTTTTAATACTGGGTACTTTAAATCTATGAACATGATCTATCCTGCCATTTAAAAAGCTGTTCTTTATCTTAATATTGTGTAGTTTTCATGTGTAGAAGATGTGCACATTTCTTGTTAGATTTACTCCTCGCTATTTAATATTTCTTGATTCTACTGAAAATGGTTTCATTTATAAATTTTCATTTTTAAATTGTTTGTGGCTTGTATATAGAAATATATAATTGATTTTTAATATAGACCTTATATCTAGCAACCTTGCTAACTTCACATTCTAGTAGTTTATCTGTACATTCTTTTGGATATTATCATGCACAATCATGTCTTCTGTGGAAAACGATAGTTTTGTTTCTTCCTTTCTAATACTTTTTCTTTCTTTTAAAAAATTTTTTTGCCTTGCTGCACTGGCCATGACTTCAAGGGCAATGTGGGATAAAAATGCTGACACAGATACTCTTGTCTTATTCCTAATCTCAACAGAAAAGCTTTCTATATTTTACCCTTAAGCATGTTGTTCACTGTCATTTTTTTTAATTAACCGATTAATTTATTTCATAAGCTTGTTCAGTGTTGGCCAGGCTTCCCATCTCCATTTATGACCCTGTTGATGGTTGTAAACTCCTACGGAGCGTGGCTGTGCCTGTCTCCTCATCCTTCTGACTGAGTGTAGGACAGGCTGTGGGCTCTCAGCGGGAAGGCTAGATAGGTCAGGTCTTAAGACAAAGAAGACCGAGTGGTTGGGGACAGAAGAGATTCAAAAAGCTCACCAGGATGAGAAAAGTACTGTGTAAAAGCAAGACAGCTCTACTCTCTGGGCAGAAGCGTGTGCGCACACACACACAGACACGCACTGAAGGAAGGAGAAAGTTTAGCTTTCTGAACATAAGTTTTGCTGTCAGAAAATCTAGAAGGAAGCTAGTTTATTTTAAGAAGCATGCAAGTTTTGTGTCAATTTCCAAAACAAAATTTTACTTTGGATTACACATGCATGGGTATGTGTGGGAGTGGGCCACTATCATTCTTTAAAAATTTGTTATCATAGAGAATTTCAAACATAAAGTAAACAGAATAATGAACCCTGATATACCTGCTACCCAGCTTCAACAACCAAAAACACTCCACCATTCTTGCTTCATCTACACCTCTAATCCGGTGGTTTTCAACTGGGGGCGATTCCCCCCACCCCAGGGACATTTGGCAATGTCTGGAGAATTTCTGGTTGTCACAACTGGGAGGGTGCTACTGGTAACTAGTGCGCAGAGGCCAGGGATGCTGCTAAACATCCTAGAGTACACAGGACAGCCCCCACAACAAAGGATTATCCAGCCCCAATAGAGCCAAAGTTAAGAAATCCTGCTGTAATCACTTCCCATCTCTCATTCAATATTCTGGGTGTAAAATTTGCACACATACAACTCTTAAACTGTAGAATTTTGACAAGTGGATATACGCATGTAATCCATACCCTCTCATAAGTTTTTTAAAATACACCCTTTATCAGATTCAACCATTTCCCTTTTATCTGTTTAATTTGCTAAGGTTTTTGTTTTTAAAATTTACTATAAATGAGTATCACATTTTATCAATTCATTTCTTTTTAGGAGTGCTTAAAAACATCCCGCCACCTTTAGGAAATTTACCTAGAAGAACTGTGCCTGAGAATAACCATCCTGCTTTCTCATTTTTCTGAGTGCCATGATAAACACACTACCTGATTCTCTTCCTTTCCATGGTGTTTGGGTTTAAAAAAAAAAAAAAATCTAAAATTTGCTTCACACACGTTTTCTTCAGATGGCTTTGAATTATGTGAGTTTAAAAGTCAACATGGTTAATAAAGATAATAGAAAGAAAAAGAAAATAACTTCATAGACTGAAATACATTGCACAAAATATTTTAGACTCCATAAGATAGGTCTCGAAGGGGCCTGAGAGCACCTGGTGCAGTGCTCTTTTGAACATGAAGCAACTGAGCCCTGAGCTGGAAGCAAATGTTCATGATCAGAAGGGTCATGAACATCAGAGCAGGGACTGGACACAGGTCTCCTGGCGGCTTGGGGCCCTTTCCCTACACCACACTGTGCTGTCTTCTCTGTAGTAAATTTGGGCAAATGGATTCCATTTGTGGTGTGTGTTGTCATATACTGCCATGACCATAAGACTAATTAACGACCCTGCAAATCCCACAGGATTCTCTGAAATTCATAAGCCAGCAAGAAGCATTATAAATACAGGTTCGTTTCAGTTCCGCATGCCTTTGCAATAGCTCAGGAAGACTCTGGGGCCCAGAGACAAATAACCCACTTAATATAGTAAGCAGGAAAGAATAAAGAGCAGGAAAATGTCTCCTTTCTCATCTTAGGCACAAGTATTGAAGCATAACCTAAATTTAGGACCTAGCCCCACTGGGGCAAAGCAGAGGCAGCTGAGATTAGGCTAAATATTAGCTTTGAGTTTCCTAGCTTTTGTTAAAGCTTAGATTACAGCCTTTCCATGACTTGAGGCAGAATCTGCTTCAGTCTGTGAGTATCTGTTAATTTCTTGACTCCTTTGGTTCTGCAGCCTGAGTGGAAGTGCTTCCAACTACATGACTGCTTTGGTTTCAAAGCCCAGACGCTCAGGGCAAGCATGGACCCAGCTAAATCTGAACTTCACTTGGGAATCCTTCAAGGGCCACACTGCCCTGCAGCTTTCACCCACTTCCTCCCCCACGCTGGGCCTGTAGACATACATGCTCTCCTGTCGTGTTTGCCTGGGGTCTGATAAAGGAAAACTCCAGTTTCAGCACATCTAAAAAATTCACATCTGAAAACAGAAGCATGCACTGGCCAAATTGGTATTTTTCTGAAAATACTGATTATTGGTGTCTGCGCTAGTTATTTTAACATTCTTTTAAACAAGAGAAAATCTGAGAAAAATATATAGGATATTGGATTTATGTGACAAAATGAAACTATCATGGTTGTTAAGACACCAAATCAGCTAGTAAGGCCTGGGCAAAGGTGCAAACTCATGGAAAACATATTTCCAATGAATCAACCTCATGCTCCAGTGGCTTCATCAAGTCTGGAGACAGAAACACAGTAACATAGTAATGGACAACTCTAAAGCTTCTCCCAGATACACAGAGTAATCACTCCACACCGTCTCTGATTACAGCCAACAGTGAAGTGAACAGAATGAATTCCCAGTAAAAATGCCTAATGAAACTGGAGATGACGTGCTGGGGCATTATTCTTCTGTTTCCAATGGAGAGAATTAGTTCCATGCTTATGACATGCAAGGGTCAAGAATTTCAAAACACTGAAATGCTACTGTCAGGCAGAGTCCATGTCTGAATCCACATAACCTCCCAGGAAGTTTTCTCAGACAATAATACTTTTGATTCTGGCTACAGATGGTCAGCCAGTTAGCCAGCAACAAGCACTGATTCGATGTTACTGTGCAGGCCTGTGTCGAAGAGACCTCAGGGAAGGTGAGAAGTGAAAGCAGAAACAAACTCCTGTCCCTGGTCTCAGGACACTTCAAATGCTTAAGAGCTGGCATTTACTGAGGGCTTAGCATGTGCCAGACACTGTGCCATGCCCTTTCTGTGCATTATCTTGTTTAATTCTCACAACTACCCTTGAGGTACTATGATTACCCCCATTTCATAGACGAGGAAACTGAAGTGTTGGGAGGTTAAGTAACTGGTCAAAGGGCAAACAGCTGCTCCATAGCAGAGACAGGATTCAGCCTCAGGCCTCCATGGCCTTGAAGCCCATCCTCTTACTGACCACACCATACTGCCTTTTCATAACCTAGAAAGGCTGCTCACTTACAAAAAGAGTAACTGCACTTAGAAGATATAAGAGATCCTCGGGATTCGCAGATGTTACACCCCCAGAATGGACTCTTTGTGAAAGACCCATGATATGCTGTGGTGCATGCTAACTTGCCGTTTTACTGAGGCAAGACTTGGACCACCACAAATGAGAGGCCAGTGTGAGGGCAAGTCACTGAGCTGAGAGAGCGTAGCCTCTACCAAGTCAAACTGATCTGGTGGAAGAGCAGGATTTACAGAAATGTCTACAATAATCTAACTGTCTCACTTAAAACTATAGTTTGACTTCTTTCAAACATAAAAAGTAACTGAAATAGGTTTACTAAGTGCTGACACAGGTCTAGAGAGAATTTACTTTAATGAATATATGAGAATCGTTTTCGATCAGCATATGAATAATCTGCCCCTAAATGTGTTTTTTTAAAGAGTTAAGGGCTGAGTATTATTGTTTGTTTCTTTTTAAAGTAGCTTAAACTGCTCTCTGAGCTCATAACCGCTCAAAATTTCAGACAGTCTGAATTGGTGGTGGCTGAAAAGAGGCGATTTTGCTCATCAGTGCTGAGGTGATACAAACTGTGAAGAGATGTCTTGAAGCACAGAACTGAAGGGCTAATCACAGATAGCATCTTGAGGGAGGTGAGCAGAGCTTCTAAGTACCAAGAAAATAAGCCTTTCTTTGCTCGCTATTCTTAAGTGGTCTCTCCCCCAGCCACTAACCAAACCAAAAAACCAAGCCCATTGCTGTCAAGCCGATTCAGACTCATAGGACAGCCACTAGGGGATCCAAAATAATCAGAGTCTTTGTGCTTGCTGCTTGTCTGCCTGGAACACTTTTCTCTCAGGTCTTCACACAAGTGGCTCCTTCTCAAGCTGCAGTTCTCAGACAAGCCTTCTTTGACCATCCAATCTAAAGTCATTACTCCCTTCCACTCTGAAGACATTCTTCCGCATAACCTAGTTTTCCATCCTTCAGGCTACTCAATTTCAGTTATCTTCCAGTTTCTTTGTGAATTTGTATATTATCTGTCTCTTCTTACTAGAATATGAGCAACAAGGAGAGACCTTTCTGTCTTGTTCACTGTGGTATATACCTTGCACTGAGAACAATGTCTGGTCGTTATTAAGTGCTCAGCAAAAATGTTTTAAATAAACAGATGAATGAGGTAAGCAGCAGCTAGGTCATTACATTATTCCCAAACAGGGAAAATTAGCCCTTTTATTTCTCCAGAGTAGATTTATATGAAAAGGATACGGGTTTTATGGCAGAACCATAAAGCAAAGGCCCCATGCCAGTTTTGTCTTACCTGTTCTGCTCCCACCATGCTAACTGGTTTGCACTTGAAGAGGTGGGTGATGAACTTGGGAATGAAGGAGCTGTGGATAAGAAAGAAGTGACAGATTAGACTTACTCTCTCTCTAGTAAAAAACTATATAAGCTTGCTTTTTTGTTTTTTTTTTAAGGCCCTAGTTATTTCCTTAAGATTGATACTGTTGTTGCCTACCAACATCCATTGCCTTCTTTCTCCTTCCAAACAAAGTCCTGGTTTTGCTCACACATACATGGCTTGGGATGCTGGGAAAAGTTGATCTCCTCCTAACCTACACAGGTGAGTTCTAATCAGCCTCAGCCAGGCAGAGCATGGCATGCCTAGGTGACTGCTGCTGGTCCTGAGATGGATGGGGACATCATCTAAACCGGCACAATCAGACTGGAGGGAAGGACTTCATTGCATGGCTAGTGTGAGGCTCTCTTCATCCTTAGGGCATTGTTGTGTTTGGAAATAACATCAAGAACTGCCATTTAACCACCATTCTGAGGATGACCCAGCTTCAAGGATAGCAGGGTAGAGTAGAAAAAAGAACCAAGGTTCTTAATGACATTGTTGAACCACCAATTCAACCATCCCCGGATCTGTCCTACCTCTGGACTTCCTATTACTTGAAATAAAAAATTTGCCTTTTATGTAAGTCAATTTGAGTCAGGACTTCTATTACTAGTAGCTGAAGACATCCTAAAAGATGTGAGAGCAGAATATGCATGAGGTAGTTATGGGGTCTTAAAATGCAAAAATAGGAAATAATTCCTAAGGGAGTAACTATCATATCAAGGAACAAAATATAGGACCTCCCAAAAATCTCCTTGAGACTGAAGGGCAACTTGGACGTGGTGGACTGGTGATGCCAGTTTGGGGAAAAGGGAGAGTGAAATTGCAATAGGTCAAGAGGGCTTTCTAGAAAGAATTGCAGAGGCTAAAGCAGACAAAGCTGGGTTGTACTGGTGCAGAATAAAAGGTGCAGGAACTAGAAATGTCTGCAATCAACGTAAGATCCAGAGGGAGCTGACTAGGAGGTGTCAGAAGGCCCCATGACCAAGGGAGAAAGCGATGGGAATAAATCAGGCTTGTAGGCTTAAAGGTTGCTAGCACCCCTTTCCTCGCTCTTCAGACTGTGACCTCCACTCTCTCGTCTCTCTCTACATCTTTTCCTGTACACTGTAATCCAGCAACTTACTGGACATCTCACTGAAATGACCCACTGGCACCTCAACCCCAGCATATCCAAGACACAACCCCACCCCAGAATCCAGGCTCTAGAAACCACTGGCCTAGAAACCATTGACTCAATCAGCCAAGTCAGAAACTGGGGAGTTACTCAAGACTGCTCCCTCATTTTCAACCCTGAGATCCAATCAATCCAATCAGTTACCAACTCTTCCCCTGAACTTCTCCCATATCCAGCCCCATCTCCCCACAGCTACTGCCCTTATCATTTCTCACTTGAACTCTTTCAATAGTTTCCTAACTGGTCTCCCTGCCTTTAGCATCGTTCTCTCTAATCTATCTGCTGCCAAAGGGATGGATTAGATAGAAATGCAAATATGACCAAGTCCCTCCCCTGATTGTAAGGACTGCAGACAAGGCCTTTCCTGATCGTGATTCTCTACCCCAGCCTCGTCATTCTATGCCCTGGCACCCTATGCTCCAATCCTGTTGAGCTCCTTGGAGATCCCATGATTCAGCAAGCTATGCAATGCCTCCGTGCCTTTGCTTACACTGCTCCCTCTGCCTGGCATGCCCTTTGCTGGGGCCTTGTGGGTCAGTACTTACACATCTCTCAGCACTTCTTTTCTATGAAGTCTTTCCTTGGGCATCCCCATGTGCCCTGGCCCCTCTTTCCTTTGTGTCCCCACCATATTCTACATACAGTCCATAGTAAGTCAAATGAAGATGGGGACCATGTCTATTAAGCCAAAGCACTTAATTCTGTGTCTGGGTCACTGCAGGAGCTTAAGTGAATGCCTGCCGAGTGAATAACAAATCATGTTTTTATATTGGCATCAGGGACCAGCACTTTAGCAGAAAGCTTACACATGTCTTCTCATTTTATCCTCCCAACCACTATAAGAAGTTGGTCTTATCATCTCTATTACTGAATGGAGGAAAATCAGCTTAGTGTATAAGGGTTCAACTTGCAGTTTTAACCATGGAAGTGATCTTAATATCTTAACAGGAAAGGTTTTTGTTCTTTCAGAGACGAACTGGTGGCAAAAGGAAACATCCATAGCTTTGAATTAGTGGAGTAGGAAAGGAAGTTAAGGGGGAAGGAGCTTGGCACTATAGAGATCAGATCTAGGCCCAGTGCTCAGAAAGGAGTGAGAACAAGGGACAGTTTGGAAGGGATTCTTCAGTGCTCTACACCAGAGCCAGGCCAAACAAGTAACTTGAAGTTCAATTCACAACCGAACACACAGTCATAACCTAAGTTACTTCCCGCTAGAGTAAGCTCTGGCTGTGCCCTTGAACTGTCTCTGTGTGCTAGGCTACGGGGGGGGGGGGACGGGACCAGGAACTTGTCTTTGAGGGAGAAGTCCCCACAGTACGATGATAACTTCCAAAGGCTTCTCCAGGCCACCAGGGTGGAGGCTATTACCCTGGGCTGGGGAAGGGTCTCTTCACAGCCCCACCTCTGAGGTTTCTGGACCCAGGTTGGAATTTTACAAGGATGAGAGGGTACCATGGATTAAAACAGAAAACTACTTGCCAGATCACAGGCTGAACTCTTCCAGATGTGAGAGGTGAGTATCTTATTCCCAGCTCACTCAATATGGGCTTAGTGATAAAATTAAAGGTCTCTGAGGACTCTGAGAGAATGCGAGGCTGATGCTGGGACTAGCGAAGCCAATGGACTCCTTTTTCACTTTAACACTGGCTAAGTCAGACCCCTGTGCAGCCACACTGGGGATTTCTAAGTATTAAATTTTTACAGAGACAGTGTTTCTACCTATGGTTATGGGGAAGGTCACAGTGTGATTTATCAGCAGTGCTTTTAATATACATTAATGAGCACCCAGAGAGCACAGGGAATGTTAACTCCTGGCTCATCTGCCACACTGCAAACACTAATGCCTCCCTGGAGAGTCTACTCTGCCCTTTCCTGACAAACTGGAACCTGAAGCTAACGCTCCAAGCCACCCTAAAATTGTTGCTCCTTAAGGATTTATCTGTGATGGAGAGGAAAGCCCTAATTGAATACAAATTGAGAGATTTGGGGAAGACAGAAACTTGGAGTCATGACTCACCATTTGGGACTTGGATGAGAACAACCTAAATACAGTAGCTTGGACTGGGCTGACGTTCCTGAAGCCCTTCCCTGAGAAGTTTGCCAAAATGCTAGTTTGATAATTGGTCAGAGGAGACTCTGACCCTCTACATTGCCGGGTCTCAGGGGAAACAGTGCTACAACCAGATGCTGATTGGCAAAGGACCAAACTATTTCACTACTTCAAAACTCAAGTCAGAAATGGCCACACATGAGGATACACGGGAAAATACGCAGCTCAGTGTTCACTCATATACCTTGGCAATGGAGCTCCCTGACTTGCTCTTCCCAACTTCTAGTACCTTCCCCAGACTCAGAGATGTCCACAAGTGGATAAATCCTGGCAGCCACAGTACTAAGTACTATGGGGAGGAAGGAAGACAGGGCTCAAAAGAAACAGAACTGATGGTTCCTGCTGGTATAATCTAGTTGGAGAGATAAAATGCGTACATGAAATCATTGAAAAATAATTTTAATTATCTAAGCCCACAGAGGGAAGTCATATCCGCATAATTTAAAACAACAGGATCCTCAACTCCTTTCTGTTTGCCTTGATGTGGTTAATGCTTGCGTTGCTCTTGCTGCTATCTATGACTTTAAGTAGCATATTTAGTTTTATTATTATACTTCTTGTGGGTACAAATTAAAATTAGTTTGCCTGCAGGCACCAGAATGAGCCCCAGCTGGATGGTGGGGACACCTGGATTGTGAGCATGCTGGGTGGTAAATGTGACATAAAAATAATCCACCGATGAGAACATGCCAAGACTTACTTTGCAAATTTAATGCAGAACTGAGTGAAGTACTTCCGTGTGGAAGCGAGGTTGTCACGGATGATGGGGACATTCTGCTTAATGTGAAGAATGACAGAAGTGACGTAGGGGCTCTGGTCACCAACGTGCTCCACATTCTGCCACTGCATCTGAAATAAAGACAGGACAGAGCAAGCCTTTAGATCTTCCTTAGGGGCAGCCTCACTTGTCGTCAGGCCAGGGGCAGGTGGAGTAGAAATTAAGGCCATAGCTTGCTATCACAGGAAGTGGCCCCTTTTGTTTTGGGGAGTTTGTCCTATCCATACTGCAGTGGTCGATCATGAATAAAAGCAAGTGTGCCCACCCTCCTGCTGACAGCCAAGTCTAACTCGCCTTTCCCTGCCCTATCCTCATGCTTGAAACAGCCTTCCTTTCCCATCTAAGCTGCCATCGTCTGAAGGAAGGCAGATGAACTGACAGTCCCATTCTTCTGTCAACTATCCCACCAGTAGGGGACTGCAGGAGAACAGAGGAGGGACATCAAATTCAGAGAAGGCTGGTTGCTTGGGAGATCAGAAAATTAGCTAAAAGCTGGGCTAACAGAAATGAAACCTGGATGAGAATTAACTTATACCTTTCTCTCAAGTAAACTGGGAGGAGTTTGGGAGTTTTTGAAAAGGAAACTATAAATGATATGGTGTGTGAGATTTGCTTCAAAATAATCTAGGGTTGGGGGAGAGGATGGGGGCATAGATGAAACCACCATTAGTGAAGCTGGGTGGTAGATACATAGGGCTCATTAAACTATTCTCTCTACTTGTGTATATACTTGAACTTTTTCATAATAAAATATAAAAAAAAGTGTGTGTGTGTGTAGACTCTTAAACTCCTAAAATCTTTAGGATTATGTTGGGATTTTAATAAAGGGAAAGGGAAGAGGATCTCCAGCAAACACAGGGGCAGGTCAGAGGGTAAGACAGTGACATGGGCAACAGGGCAGGAAGGAGGCACAGTGACTGTTTGGATGACAGGGGCCGGGGGAGAGGAACAGCACTGAGAGAACTGATGTGGTCCCTGACCAGGCCATGAATACAAATGAGAGACTTGCTTTCACCCAAGTACTAACAACCTGAGGACAATCAGGGGAAATGCTCTGGAAAACGGTTACAGTAAATGTCCCTGGCTAAACTTCTTGGAGTAAGTGGTACTTAGCAGCACTGGACACTAGAAAGCAGAGAGAGAAGCAATGCTGTAGCGGTTCTTCCCTCTCTGGTATCCATGGGAGAATGGGGGCAGCATGGGTGCTGCCAGCCTGCCCTAAAATGGCAGGGAACGGCCACTCTAACCCTGCAAAGAGCGGGAATGTGCTGGAGGAGTTCTGCTGAGTCAGCCTCACAGAGCGGAGCTGGACTGTCTGCTGCAAAGATCCTCAGCCAAACGCAAACCATATAATACGTACACAGAAGGAGGTCCGTAGTCCCAAGGCCTTAATGTCTCTGGCAAGAAAACACTATTTTTATAGAGCTCTTGCGAGAAGGAAAAATTCAATACTGAGAGGACTTGTGTGAAAGAATCATATTATATTTGGATGATTCTCCAGTTCCTGGGAAGCTCAGATGACTCTCTGCTTTGTCCTAATGTTTCCTCAAATCAGCAGAAATTTGTAGGCTAGAAGCTTTAGGTATGTGTAAGTGCAGAACCATAGATCATCTTCCTTTTACAAATGAGGAAAGGCCCAGAGACATGAGAGTCTTACACAAGGTCTCACAAGCAGCCTGCAGGAAAAGAAGTCTCTGATTTTTTATTGGGAAAAAAACAGAAACAAACATTGGAAAAACAGTAGAAAGGTCTAATATGAACTGACTTTATATTCTAATGCTTTGGTTATGTGTAATATTTTCCTCATTATCTTTAGCACTCAAGTGGCTTCTTTTTCTGTCTGATCTTAAAAGATTTGACCTACCCAAACAATGAGCATCCTAGGTGATTTTAAATGAGCTCATTAGAGTGAGGCCAAAATTGACAGATGCTGTTAATGTCTACATTTCATATTCTTTTCCCCAACTCTGCAGCAAGACTTGAAGCAGCTTGCAAATGCCCTGGGTAAACAGGGCAGACCGGGCAGGGAGGTCGAGGCCCCTACCCTGCAGTCGACATGAATGAAGCTCTCCCATAATAATGACTACTGCTTTCCAAGTTGGCAGTGTTTCATATTTCCAAATATCAAAACAGTTTATAAACAAGTATCTAAACATTACGGTTCTCTATTAACAGAAGATGACCACAAATGGAGGTGGTGACATGTTCTGTCACTGGTTGCAAAGCAATTGTGAAGCAAGAAGAATGACTGTGGGACTTGGGACTTCTTCAAGTTCCCGTTGGTTATGTATGTACAGAATCTAATAGGTCTTGATAACCACTGGCCATGTCAGGACATGTCCAAAATTGGAACATACGTGAAAATACCTAATTTGCTTTAATACTTCAGCCAGTTATGACTCCGATGGTCAAATTAAAAGAAATATTAACACAAGTGGATTCATGATTTTAAATTTTTGTCAGCTTAACAAAGTTAAGAGAGTGATTTAAAGTACTGGGGAACAATGAAAGTTGATAGTGCTTTTACTGTTTTTAAAAAATTCCTTCCATGTGCAAGATATGGTTAGCATTGATTCTGTCCTGTCACTGCCTCAGATGGTTTGATGCTGAACATCATCCATCCTGGCTGACTTAGGTTTGGGCTGTAACTTGAACTGCCCAAGGTACCTATGTTAGGACCTACCTTGTGTAGGCCACTACACCCGGCACTATATACATCACCTCATTTACCGTTCATAAATTATCTTATTTAGTTCTCACAACAATCTTGTAGATGAGGAAACTAAAAAAGCTTATACAATTACCATATGACTCAGCAATTCTACTCCTAGGTACATACCCAAAGGAACTGGAAGTAGGGACTAAAAAAGATACATGTACCCCAATGTTTATGGCAGAATTACTCGCAATAGCCAAAAGGTGGAAACAATTCAAGTGTCCATCAATACACAAATGGATAAACAAAATGTGGGATGTACATACAACAGGATATTATTTAATCATAAAGAGAAATGAAATTCTGATACGTGCTGCAACACAGATGAACCTTGAAAACAGTATGTTAAACAAGTCAGACACAAAAGGTCAAATACTGTATGATCCAACTCATATGAAATACCAAGAATAGGCAAATAGACACAAAAGTTTACGAGTGGTTTCCAGGGGCTTGGAGGAGGAGGGAGTTGGAGTTATTGCTGAAGGAGTACTGAGTTTCTGTTTAGGGTGATGTAAAACATTTGGAAATGGACAGTAGCGATGGTAGCACAATATGGTGAATCTGAGTAATTTCACTGAATTGTACGCTTAAAAATGGTTAAAATGGTAAACTTTTTGTTATATATACCAGTTGCCGTCGAGTCCATTCCGACTCATAGTGACCCTATAGGACAGAGCAGAACTGCCCTACAGGGTTTCCAAGGAGGAGCTGGTGGATTCAAACTACCAACCTTTTGGTTAGCAACTGAGCTCTTAACCACTGGGCCACCAGGGCTCCTGACTCATCTTAAAAAATCAAAAACCAAACCTGTTGCTGACGAGTCAATTCTGACTCATAGCGACCCTACAGGACAGAGTAGAACTGCCCCATAGGGTCTCCAGGAATGCCTGGTGTATTCGAACTGCCAACCTTTTGGTTAGCAGCCAAACACTTAACCACTGCACCACTAGGGCCCCTGGTTATATATAATTTACCACAATGAAAGAAAAAAAAAAAGCTCAAAGAGGTTAGGTAACTTGCCCAAAGTCACACAGCTGGTAACTGTCCATCTAAAGCCCAAACACTACATAAGGCTGCTTCCTAGACATATTTTTTCTAAAGAATAAAAGCACTTAAAAAAAAAAAGAAAGAAAGAATAAAAGCACTTAACTGGGCATTGGTTAAGGACAAGTCCTGTTTCTCAAGGAGAAGCTAATGAAATTTACAGCGATCAAGCAAAGTCCTCCTTCAAAAAAGGAAACAGTAGCTTGCACTGGAAGAACAAACATCACGAAAAGCCATCATTGGAAATATGACTCCAACTTTTCCAGGCAAACTTTGCACTTGACATTTAAAATTTATCCTTCCACCCTTAAAGTTTTTCCTTTTGTTTTGGGGGTAGGGTCGGGGTGAATACCAGATGATGTTCAACTGGTACTATACAAACAATAAGAAAAACAGTTTGCAAAAGAAGCAGTAACTAAAATGCAGGGTTGATAGAAACTGCAAGGAAGGAAATGACCAGGTGATAATGCTCAGAGCTCATAGCACCCCATATCTAACCACAGGGGGTGACTACAGGGGCCGGAGCATCACCAAGGCCTGTGGCTCCGCTGCCTGGGGAGGGTTTGCCTGGTCTGTGTAGACACTTTACAGGGAGGGCAGGGGAGATACCCACTCTTCCTGGAGTGAGCCCACTATAGCAGAGGATTCTGACCAATCCATTGATCAGACAGCAGTGCTCCACAACCAGCTTTCTATGGAACTTGTTTTTTTTCTGTTGCTACATAAGGCCTAGAAAGAAGTCTCCTGAGAAACTAATTTTTCTCAACTGAAAGCTTAAATTTTCATCTATTTATTTTGATCACTAGATTAGAGATATATAAGAGCACAGAGTCAGACATATGGACTCAAGGAACACTTCAGGCAGTCAAGGTCTGGTGTTATGGTTTAGGCTGCTGGGCCATCAGTCTCCAGCAATGGTCCTCACTCAGGCACACACACAAGCATGCACCCACGCACCCACGCACTACTCACTCATGCATGCACGCACATACTCACTCACTCTAATCTTCGCCTGGGCTGCTTTTACTTATACAACAAGCATTTACTATGTTTACAGGTACCTACTGATGTTCAGCACTGGACCAAGCATTGTGTGGGGAATAAAAAGGGAAAAGAAACATTTATTAAACACCTACTAAATGCCAGGCACCATGACTGACATTTTCACATGAGCTTACTGCTTACAATAATGCAGTGAAGGAGGTATTATTACTCCCGCTTCATAGGTGATCAGACAGGCTTGCAGACAAGTGACTAGCCTAGTGAAGCATAACTTATAAGCAGCAGGGCTAAGATCTAGACATTGGTTTG